CTTACCATCGGACCATATGCGGACGGATACACAGGTGAAGAACGGGAATCTCTCTCCTTTTCCTACCCTCCGCCCCTCCCGGTGGTTGCCCCCCTTCCCCCCCCCCCCCCCCCCCCAGAGGAGAGATTCCACCAGTCCCTGCCCTCACACTGTGTCATGCCCGGCCCAGTTGGCCACAGAGGGTACAGGCATGTTCGCCTACAAGGAAAAATAGGGGAAAGGGGGTTCAGGAATTTTCCTGAGCAGGAGCAGGATGGCCGTGGATGACGCAATGGCTGACCCCGCCCCATCCCCCGTCGCACTGCAACAGGAAGTGATAAAACCCCACGCGCCGTTACACATGAGGCAAGGGGTTATAGATGGTGTGGGCGAAAAATGATGACTTGAGTAAGTATGTATCAAAGGGTAAAAAACCGCAAAACGCCAAAACTGGCCACAATTAGAATGTAAAAGTGCTGCTAGATGGGAAAGAGAGTTGCAGGATTGGAAAGTTATCGGAGCAGTTAGAGTGTGAGAAGAATTGGGAAAAGGGGAGTGAAAACACGGTGATAGGATGGGTAGGACATAGGAAGTGTGGAGAGTAGGTAACAATTGAAAAAAGACAATCTAGGGCCGGGGTGGAGATGCGCGGTTAGAAGACAAGAAGCCCGAGACTAAAGACAGAGTAGACATCGAACACACGTTGGACTGACGGACCATTTGGTCCGAGTTTGATGGTCCCAAGGCGTCGCGTACGCACTAAAAAGGCACAAAGTTGGGGTATTTCCGGGGTCGAAGAAGACGGACGGGTAGGAGAATCGTTGACTTCGATTGGCGGGGCCAAACGAACCTGATGAGAAAACTGTGCTTCGAGTGAGGCACAAATACCTTTAGGACTTTACAGACGAAACGAAGACGTTGAAGTGACACACCGTGAGTCCAGGGATGTGTAGTATGGTTTTCGGTCTAAAAAAGGAGGAGGGAAGGAATGAGGTCAACAGGGGTAAAACAACGCCAAAAAAATAACAAAAACTGTGCCACATATATTAATGTGTAAAACACAAGTGCTAACTACTTGCTGTTGGGGTGAAATAGATATGATTGTGAGGGGAAAGGAGAGAGTGGCCAGTGCTAGTTTTGTTGAGGGTATAGGTTTGCGTCCCGAGAAGATCATTTTGTTCTATAGTTCTCCTTGTGGAACAGTGTGGAGTTCAACCCTGTAGGGGGTAGGACTAGGAAATACCAAAAGACAATATGGGTTACACATATCATAGTATAAATCGGGCAACGATGATAGTTGGCCGGTCGTCGCAAAAAAGTCCCGTACTAGTATCAATAAGAGTTAGACATTAACACCGGTTGGTCTTTATTGGTCTAGTGCGCTATGGTTATTTCCAGGCGGACCAGGTTGGGTAAACGTCTCGGCTTAAAGGCAGGGCGCTTCTATACAAGGCCCACATCAATAAGTTTGGTCCCGCGCGGGTGCGAACCTGCTACCTGAGGTTAGCATGCGCCCAATTAATTACACTACAAGTAAGGCGTAGGAATGCGCCCCCACATGCTGATTTTTTTTGGAGTCCCATACTAGGACGAAACGGCCGTCCAGTGCTTCCAGGTTTCTAATGGTGGTCTAACAATGATGATTGATTAATGATTTCAAATGTGTAAAAACGCAAACCTCCAAAACTGTGCCCCAATATAATGTAACAGTGCTCACTAGTGACTAGCTTCGTGAGGAAATTCTCGGAGTTCTAGTTGAGAAGACGTGACCAGTGGAGTTCAACCCTGTCGGGTGTAGGCAGTAACTACCAAAGACAAATGGGTGAGGTCGCGCAAAATCCCTAGATCAATCAGAGTTAGACATTAACACCGTTGGATGCCGGCCCAGTGGTCCGATGGTAAGGCGTTCGCCTACAATGCCAAAGGTCCCGGGTTCGAATCCTGCGAGGAGCAGGAGTCGTGGATGCGCACTGCTGAGGAGTCCCATACTAGGACGAAACGGCCGTCCAGTGCTTCCAGGTTTCTAATGGTGGTCTAACAATGATGATTGATTAATGATTTCAAATGTGTAATTATTCAGTAGCCAAGCACCTAATCCTAATAGCTGTCGTGATAATAGTCCAATCTGCACAGTGCGGATTTCTTATCCGAAACGTCAACTCACGTTCCACAAGGAAAGTCGTAGTCCTAGTAATAATAAAGCATTACAACACTATGGCATTGCCCTTAGACAACAAGCAACTCCGGGGATGCTGACATCACATGCACGGTGCTGCAGTATTTTGTTTTCAATTGTTATTATTGTAAAAAAGATTCGTTTGGCAGAGTTCTGTATTCGATGAATTCGTTTTCAAAACTGTACAATCGTAAATATACACTTTTTTCACAATTAGATAATTACAATAATAGTGATCATAAAAATTTTTTTAAACATGGTAATAGTGAGGTGAATTATATCAAGGTATAAAACGTTATTTTGATTAAGGGAATTAAGAATAATGTTGTTGTTGCGGTGTTGAATGTTAATCAGGAGGATTGATAAACAAATTATAATCGGAAAGGGAATGCTCAGTGTGATTATGTAAAATACTTAAATTGAGATGAACTGTAAATCAGGAGGATCATAGGAACATAAAAAACCTCTATAGAGAAGGTAAAATGGAAGCAGATAGCTGTGAACGAAAAAAATTAATTTCATTTTTGCGAAAGAATAAGCCGTTGTGCCAGCTTCTTATGTACACATAATTCCGGTTTTAAGAGATGTATGCCAAATGCTTCGGCAACGCTAAGGCAATAGCCAGCTGTCTTTGGCAGTTTCCAGCTCCTCTTACAGAATACGCTCTGACCGAATGATCTATGTTCATGAGGTTTTCGATTATTGAGCTTCTTATTTACACCAGTAAATACTATTGTTACTACCTCTACTACTTTGGGATTTGTACTAATAATTCCATCTTGCTACTCTAATGGGTTATGGAAACTTGAAACGACGTACACATGTACCAGGTTTTGCGTTGGGTCTAAATGTCTGAGATCATTTAACATTTGTTGGTTGATAACAGCAATTAAATCCACTCCTTTGTTAGTGGGAGATAGATTGGTTGCGTTGCTGCACGCTGATTGGCTCTTTCGTATCCAATCAGCGCTAGCCGATACTGAGGGAATATTCTAGAATCTTCTCATGTAAGAAAACTATAAATATACTAAAGTCTTTTTCCTTTGGACCTTCTGACTCCCATCTAACTTTGTCATTGGAATATAATCCCCATTTCTTGTTTAACCGTGTTCTGATTTGGGAGAACGTCTCGAGTGAATTGGTGTCCGAGAATACTAAGCATTAGGAATAGCTGGGTTTTAATAAGGAGTCTCTTCAAATGGAGAAGTTAAGTGAAACACAGTTTTCTATTCACTTAATTTCTATGACAGTTAATTTCGATCACGAGAAGTGAAGTTGATTATATCACACTTAATGTCAAAAACCTATTGATCATAACTACTGTTATTTAGATGGATTGTTGCAGGTAAAATAAGCATTAAATTCGATTGATCCATTAATAAAAATAATAAAGGCCTAAAACATACTAGAAAGCAAATCCTTAAACCGTGAAACAATCCCAAAGAGCCAGCTTCATGAGCAAGACGTGCTCGACGAGGTGCACCGGACATGGGAGCAGTACTACATCCAGTTACTTCAAAACCTTCTTCTTCGACACGCATCTTTATATGAGCACAGGTTTCGATCCAATCAAATGATAAGATCCAACATCCCTAAATTATATTAATCGAAAAAAATAACAAGTTTAAAAAACATGAACAGAAAAACTCCATGTCAGAATTAGCATAACCTTCCATACACATATAGCATAAACTGCACATGACTTTCACTCAAATACCAACTAAGATGATGGTTGAAAATAGAGACAGACAGACAGATACAAAGCAGAACTTCGTACGTAAGTACATCAGTTCAGGTTGCCATACCACATTAGCACAGAGACGCAACTGTCAATTCAAATCCAAGAGTGATAGCGATAGTAGAAGTATTAGCAGTAATGGAGAAGATTAGGGTTCGAAGAAACTATTCAAGAAGTATAATTTAGTGAGATAGCTTTAGAAAGATAAAGATGATGAGGAACTCAGAAGATTAGAATTTGAGAGATCACAATGAATGAATGCACCTGTGCCATCGCAAACGATTTTCAGCCATGTCGTTCAAGGTCTCTAACCATCGGAGACTTTCGTCTCGTGGACCCCAACCACGTAGTCTACATCTACCAACATGACTTAGTCCACTTGTCATTGACTTCATGGGTTTCTATCATGTTTTGGTTTAGCCGCCACTAGCTTTCTTCCTACCTACTCCTACACCACAAAACTCCCGAGATAAGTGAAGCGGTCCACATGCTCAACTACTTCACTCCCTATCACGAGTCCATGTGTCGATATAAGTCGATCCTGAAGCAACATTTTGCATTTCGACGAGAGAACCGCATCCCGAACATGCTTGCGTTGTTGCTTAGAGTAGTCAGAAGACTCAGCATTTTGTCAGCATGTTCACCGAATAGGACTATGTCATCAGCATACTCTAAGTCTGCAAGCGTGTCGTCTCCTGGTAGAAGGTCCACCCCTGAAAAGTCAGACGAAGATAATATTAACACTAAAAGTATATCTAAGACAAAGTTAAACAGAAATGGAGAGAGTGGATAGGCTTGATGAACACTACTTGACGTGAAGAATTCCGATGACAGTTTGTCATAAGCTTTCACTCGACCAGTGATGTTAGAGTAGAGAGTAGATTAAAAAATATATGATTTAGATTTTAAATACTGACACTGATATCTAACATCATAAAGTTTATTAATTAATCTCTGAATTTATCAAATGTTAATAGTGTATGTATGTTGTAGAGTTTAGGTTTTTCACTATGTTAAATTTTTGAATCCCATCTTAAAATAAGTAATCTGTTGTTATTTACTATAAAGTTACAAAAAGCAACGGAAAAACGGTTTAAAACTACTTCATTAAATAACCTGTAAAACGGCGCTTAGAAATTTTAAAGTGCGTGGACAAGTAGCTTGGCCATTAGAACTGAGTAATTCATTATCATTTTTGCGTGAACGAGAATTTCTTTTAGATTTATTGTTCTTCTTTGTGTTGTTGTCAACGGATTCCTCAGTGACATCGCTGGGCAATTCTTGAAGTGCACCAGTCACGACATGTGTGACTTCAGGTGAAATCGATGAGAACACGCGTGCATGTATCATGGTGGCAACACGACTGAACAATGATTGTTGAGTTCTTGTCAAACCAGTTCCCAGGAGAATAGGTCGAAGACGTCGCCTTTTAGTTTAAGTAAATAGAAGTATTCAAATAATTAATCAAAGTAGAATAACAATAAACATACGGCAACAATCTTAATAATGTTAGAAAATAATGAGAGCACTCAGATATTTGTGGATTACTTATCAGTAATAGGTGGCAGATACATACCTCAACTATTCAGCATCAAAAAAAGTTGATAAGAATAATAAGCGTAAAACTTCAAAAGAATTTGAAATCTATCCTTGGCCACAATACAAACTATCTCTGCTCAAAAGATATCAAGTACTGTTCAATTATCACTAGTTATCTTAGACACTGGTGTGAAGGAAATTAGTTAAGTTAAACAGATCACATGAACGATTCATACCACATATTAAAATATAAATAACACGAAAGTCATGATGAATAAATTCTAGTCTAGAGGATTTCTGGAGCTCTAAGTAGAGAGCCGAACTTTTTAGGTGCCTCGAAGGAAGACATGATACCTTGATATAGAAGCAATCACACAGTGATGACGGTTTACAATCGTCCAAATCAGTGGTCCTGAAAAGTAAAATATCACAAGCTGGAAAAGTCATCACAATATTTATGGTATGAATCAATGTTTAGTTTTCAGATGGTTTCAGATCGATGACATTTATAAAGTTTACTGCGCTAAGCGTGAACAGTTTATGAATCAGTTGATACAAAACCCGCTACCATAAGGTATCAGTTTGTTAAGTTACATATTTCACTATCACAGAGGAAAATCTAAATGAGCACATAATGCATAAATATGTCACTGAAAAATAGCTACTCCATAAGGGTATCGCTTTCGTATGCAAACAAGTTAAATAATTAATCAGTTGCTACTAATGAGTTCAGCGATACGATTCTCTATTGTGATCCTGAGGGAAAACAATTTTGACTATAAAATGCAGTATGGTAATATTTAATATACAACTAAGTATTAATCATTTATTCCAACTAAGAATGACAATACACTTTGAAATTAAATATGATATTTACGTACACATTTACAATCCTACCTTTCAATAAAAGTAGTTGCAGTAGAAACTGATAAAATATTTGAAGTCTGATTGTTAGTCAGACAATTTTTATTTGATACAACAGTAGACAATGATGCTTTGTTTAACATCTCTCTTATATCAGATAACGCATTAAGACTGAAATTATATTTTGACGGTTTAGAATCTGAATTTTGTAATTCTTTTAGCTGGCATATACTGTTATCCACTAATTGTATTGGAATTATCCCGTTATTATTTGGAAACAAAGGATTAGCACCGTGGTCAAGCAACAGTTGACAGAAGTTAACTTGTCCATTTTGTATAGCTTCGTGTAGAGGAGTCTCTAACTCCGGACCACCAGGAATGTCCACAGTAGCTCCAGCTTTGATCAAAACCTTAGCGACCTTTATAAAAAACAAAATATATTAGTTAGTCTTCGTATACGGATAACAACAGAATTTCTAATTATAAATAAGTGAAATCAATCCGACGCATACTTCACAGTGTCCACGTAATGCAGCTTCGTGCAATGGTGTCCAACCAGCATGGTCTCGAACATTCGGTGATAATCCGGCGGCAAGTAACTCTTCTGTTTGATTAGTGTCACCACGAATTGCTGCTCTATGTAGTTGACTTTCACCTTTACTATTTGGTCTTAGTTTGTGCACCAAGTTGAGAAATCCAGACGATTTGCGATCCTGAACAGGAACGACTTTCTTAACATTATTTTGGGCGCCCTTAGAATTCTTCTTTGAGATACTTGAACTTTTTGAACGTGCAATTTTACTCTTGTTGGTTATTGGTAGATCGACATGTGTAAGAAAGACAGATGTTTTAAAAGAAATCGGATCAGATGGAGATAAAGTGGACTGATCTGTTACGCGAGAAGGTTCAGGAGAAGCGAATGGGAATGGAACAGATATTTTGCTAGGCATCTACAACAAAAAATAAAAAGTACGAGAGTTACTCTACATATCGAACAACAAAAGAAACGAGTACAATTAATACCAAAAGTTTATAGAGTTCAATACTGTTTATTATAAATTTCCTAGCCATGCTAAAGTTAGTAGAAAAGATTGTGTGCTGAAAAGGGAATGGAAGTAGTTGAATGACTAAGCTGGTGACCTATAGAGAAGCTGAAGTTATGATACTATTCAATAGTTTGAAGAAATTAACAAAGGTGTTATAACCTGATAACGGCTAAAGTAATAGAAATCAATTCATGGATTAATATAGTCTAATTGTAAGATTATAAATCAACTAGATTATCGGGTATATATATATATATTCCTTTTATCATAAACTTTCTATTAATCAATGAATTATTATTATACCACTTACCGTGCCTATTTTGTTGGCAATTTATTATTTACAGCCTGCCTTACAGCTACTTTTGGCTTATTCATGTATAGTTGTTGAATTCTATTTATTGGTGCGGTGTGATCTAGTTTTGTATGTTTGCAAAGGAATATCTAATATACAGTAACATATCTTGAACTGGTAGTCACTGGTTTGTCTTCCTCTTCGATTGGTACAAGTTAGTATTAGGCTGTCCTTCAGGCATAGGTAGCAAGTTTCTCGTCCTTACTGAGCATTGGTTACTCAAAGGTCGTCTAAGTATTGGTTAGCGTAAAGCACACAATAAAGACAAAAAGTATTTGTCATTAAACGTAATAGGATGACGAGAAGGAAACTAAACTCTTCATTGATGGTTTGTACATATATACTGGTTCAGTAGCCTAGAGGTTAGGCGTTCACGCCCAAGACCGAAGGTCCTGGGTCCGAATCCTGAGAGGTGCGGAAGTCGTGGATACGCACTGATGATGAGTCCCATACCAGGACGAAACGGCCGTACAGTGTTTTCAGGTTTATAATGGTGGTCTTACATTGATCGATTCATGATTTCAGTATATACACCTATCAAAGATTGCTTCGAAACAATGTTATAATAACTCAATGATACTACTTTTAGTAAGATAATTTAATAAAGCCGAATGAAACAGTAATAGATTTGTAAATATAGTAAATGAATATTTTCGACTGAGAACCTACCACTTGTTGAGATCCTATCTTATCATTACCACCTTTGGATACAATTTTACTCCGAGCATTTCTAGTGTTATGTACAACAACATTGCCTATAGGAAGTGATTCAATCGATTTATCAAGAGAAACATATAATTCATTCCCATTGACAGAATTTGATGATATTGTTTGGTGAGTATCAGAGCTTGGATAAGCCAATAATTTAGTCACTTTATTTGGTTGTTGTTTCTTATTAGCTTTGATTTTATCTTTTGAAGGATAGTGAGGTTTGTAATTAATACATGAATCATTGTCAGTTGAATCAACATTAGATACAGATGTACTAACAGTAGATATATTTATATTACTGTCGACCAGGGAATGACCACGTTTATACCTTATACCAATTGAACTAAATATAAGTAAAATAAACGTAAAAATTATTCACTAAGATGAATAAAAAAATAATTTGGGTTATTCCGGAAACAAATGAATTCTTATCATAATGAAAATTCTATTTGTAATAGAACCTTAAGGAAAAAGTGTTTCAGCCAATGAGTAGATACGGTGATACTAAATTCTATTTTTGATACTTTAGATCAACTTACTATTCCTAAACTGCAAGTTTAACAGTATATGAATTTTGGTACAGACAGAAACTTTTGGTGTTTATTTTTCTCATCATATTGTTTTATGGCGAAATTTAACACCAGTTTTCAAGCTTCAAACATTCAATCAACTATAGTTCAAAATGTAGTTGCTGCTTTGTAGACTAATTTCCTGATACCAAAGAGGAACAAGGTTGTAGAGATGAGTGTATTTTCTTCACAATGATCTACAGAAGGTATTTTTGATGGTTCTCCCATATCTGCACTGGTATTTAAGTCGAAGTTGCTGAATAAACGAATGGTTTCGCCCAAATATATTTGGTAAATAGATCCAAACATGAACCGGAACCAAAAATCGATAACTGAAATAACTATTTTACCCTAAATAATGGGTAAAAGATTTATACAGCTAACCACCACTTGATTGCAAGTTAGCACGATGACAGAAGTAGTGAATAAATCAAGCCTTTTATTAGTAGAAAAAAAATGAACACAGAATCCTTTATACCATAAAGACAGAACAATATTCGTACAGTTTACTCAGTACTGAATGAGCATCTCCACACAACAAAGAAATAAAATCTTACCGTTTTGAATCTTTATCTTCGGACTGTTTTTGTTTAGAGGCAGAAGAATAGGCTCTTTTAATTACTACTTGTGGCATTGCAGTCTCATTTTTAGATGTATCAGGAATATTATTTTCTGAAACGAGAACGAAGAGAACGATTTTTAGTTTTCTAAACAAATACAAGGGAAGTATCTAAGTCTGACCATTGATTTTTTTATTTGTAAAAGTCACTCTTAGAGTCAAAAGTTTGCTATAAATAAGATGAATGGTTTTTCTGTCACTTCTTATACCTCTGGTTGTGCAAAAGTTATGAGAAATAGAAAACGAAACATTACACTTGAATGTTTCGAAGGTAGTATATTTGGCTGCATCACTGGCTTTCGTTTTTAAACAAGTTTCTAGGTTATAGATACCACTTGACCAGAAATATTCACGTACAACTAAAGTGAAGAGTCAGCGCATCCTCTTGAAATCCTCGCACGTTCAAAGCTACTCTTAAAAAATAACTAATCATTATTTTTTCGTGGCAATACTACCATAGAATTTACAGGATAAAAACTGAATTAGAGTTTGAACAAACTAAGTGGATAAGAGGGTTAACGCGATGGAGATGGAATGGGCTTCAGGACCTTGAAGAATTACATAGAATATAGATGTGTTTGAACACATTCAAATGCAATAAATTTCTTATTATGACTACAATTTTGTGAATTAGATCCTCCGATAAAAAGCTTGCAGGTGATCTGCTAGGATTAGGTGCTTTGGCGAATTAACTAGATGAGTCTTACTATAGTAATACAAGTTATTAGCATCTAATAATGAGATAAGAATAACTTAATAAACATCCTAGTTTTGAGTGGACGAAATGGAAGCTACAACATAAATTATCAGGACATACCAGCAACAAGATCACGAGGATCTTTTGTTTCTTCCTGGGAAGTACTCATAGTTAATTTCTTTAATCGACGTGCAACCAACACGAGTGATGTAAACTGCGGATGAACTTGGAAATCGCGTGCATGTACGGGAACAGAGCAAACCGGACAGCAACTTGCAATCTTTACATTACCTCGGCTTGGAATACATGAAGAACAAAGCAGATGTTCACATACTCCGGTTGTGAATGGCTGATGAAGAGTAGAGGTGCAATTATCACAACGCATTAACTCCAACAGTTCGATAATTGCATTATGAGTTTGAGATAAACTAACCATCTAAAATTATCCCATAAAAACAAGGGTGTACCTTAAGCAAATGGGAAATTTAGTAATAACAATGTAAAACTGACCACAGACAAGTCAACCTAACTAATGTTGGCATAACGGGCTTTATTTCACGACGGTGATCACCAATATACACTTTCATGAATGTGTTAGTGATCATGAAAATAAAAATCTTTAGTTGTTGCATATTAAAACACAACAAATTAAATCTGACGAGATTAGTGGAAGATCTAATAAATTACTTAGCTCAGTCAAATCTTGACGGAATTGATAATCTTTTGCGATAGATTAAAACTTAAACCATCTAGTGTAACAACCGGAGACGTTATCATAAAGCTATTTGGATAGAAACTAGTTTTGAGGGATTAAGATGTCGATGCTAACCAATCAACAGGTAGTAACAAAAACTTAGTCAGAGAAATTCGACCCATGTCAAAAAGCAGATATAGCATTAGTTACTACACAGTGGCTTAATCGCACAGTGGATAAAGTCCTGATGACAAATTATAGATGCAGAGACTGAGGTTTATTGATAAAGTGGGATACAAGTACGTCCAACCAGTAAGCCAAAAGTTGAAAACTGTGTCTCCGTGCTAATGAGACATGGCAACTTGAACTGATGTATGTACGTACGTAAGAAACTCTACGTTGTAACTGACTGAGCCAAAAGTAGAATTAAATGAGTCGAACATGCAGCAACCCATTAGGTTACTTGATCACTTCAATCCTCAGACACATTTTATCAAAGATGAGTTCAGTCTTACAATTAAAAAATAAATTTCATCAGTAGTAGGAACTGTGGAGGGATGAAATTTGGAAATGATCAATAACGTAGATCTAATGAGAGTTAAGATTAGACAAGCACATATGGCTAAATCTAGTCTGAATGAATCACTGATTTCGAGTCAATACTCGTTTTTGATATAATTTAAAAAGTGCATAACACAGCTTGAGCTTAGATAAGCATACGAAACATGAAAAACAGGAATTCTTTAAAATCCAATGATCAAATCCCAATTCCTATCTATTGAGATATCAGGTCCTTGTTAATAGTGCTGATAGAACATGATACTGTATTTATCGACAAGAAAAACTGTACTCAGGGTTCAATTTATTTTAAGAAAGTCAGAAGAAAATGTTTATAGCATCAACTACATCCCAGTCTGAGTCAGTTTTCCATACCTAAAACCACTAATTATAAACAAAGTGAAGTTGACGGTAAAAGAGAAACAATGAGTTATAACACTCAATTCCTGCCTAGCAAGATAATCATGTGAATACATCCACAAAGTACATAAATTACGTCGCTGACTATAAGCTTTTAATAACTCAAACATCCAATCAGCAGCAACATAGAGCTTGCTACGTACATACGTCAGTTTAATTTGCCATACCACATTGGCAGAGAGACTGAATTATCAATTCAAAACCCATAATGGTACAAGTAGTAGCAGTATTAAAGGTAATGGGAGGGATAAGGGATTGAAGATATGATTCGAGAACTATATACCAGTCAAGTAAATTTAAAGAGGAAAAACGTCATGAGGAATCCATATTATATTTTAAGAGAAGAAAAATAATGGATGCATCTGTGCAATTCCAAACGATTTCGAGCCATGTCATTCAAAGTTTATAACCATCGGCTGCTAATTTCTAGCGAACCCCAACCTGGTAGTTTACACCTATTAACACGGTTCAGTCCAGTTGTCATTGATTTTATGGGTTCCTGCCATGTTTTGGTTTGGTCGGCCCTAGCTTTATTCTAGCCTAGCCTACATCAGACATCGCTCTCGGAGTAGTCGGTGGTTAAGTATAAATAACACATGCCACAACCACCCTAACTGATGAACATTCAACACTTCATTAATTGATTCACCAACCTAAAATAGTACCATTTTTCTAACCCCAGCATTGCTTACTTGATAGTCTCAGGATAGAAAAGCAAAATGACTCAAACAAAAAACATGAAAAAGTGGACTCAAAAGCGATGGAAGCAACATATTTTACGCAGTGATGTTAATTTAAAAAAGACTCATCAGAATATTCCCTAGGATGAGAAAAACCGGACAACACCTTGAAACGTACACCTTAATTTGAACAGTTTTGTTTTTCAAATCTATTTACGCCTATTAATCTACTTTCTGAGATTTGTCTTGGAATCAATTAATACATGAAAACGGGCTCTTGGACCAAACAATAGCAAGATTTCTTTATAGGCTGGAAAAACAAGTAGGTTTCTTAATCTTAAAGTCATAACATATTAGTAAGATATATGTTGGTGCATCCCCCAAAAATTCCTACTAAACTTACTTGGCAAGTGTTGCCTTTAATTCAACCGAGTTCACTTTTATTTCTCTGCTACCAGGGAAAAACTGTTCTATTCCTTTGGAGTTTAGAATTTAGGGATATCACGAATGTAAATAAGTTTATTGCCTATTTTTACCAGTACCATGAAGCTTTGAGACAAGAGCGATGTGAATATCCGTAGGTCTATTACTTACTTATTTTAACCGAGAAACTGCTATCGCGACAAAACAAAAAAGCGCCAAAACCCACGAAAACTAGACTTGCCTCTCTTTACAATTGTGTATTAGCCGTAGTCATTTAAACGCGCAACTAGAAAAAGAGAAAATTTCACAACGTTTTTGCTACACTTGATCTTTTTCTCTTTTACCGCACTGAAATTTCAGATCTGAATTCGTTTTTAACGCTTTGAAAGCTTTTCAATATCCAATACATTTTTCACGAACTAGTACAAACCATTTGATTCCTTTGAGACCGATTCTTGTTGTTTCGGGACGTTTCCAGGTGCTTGGTAGAGTCTAATTGGTCGTTGCCTAGCCAACCAACTGCAATAACCCTAGTCGGTTGAGGTAGAAAATTCCGATGCTAATAAGATTTTAGAATTCAGTAAATAAATGAATAATTTATGTTAATAACTGGTAGTGAAAATTGTACGAGAGGATCAATGTGCAAGCAAGGGAAAGAAACCAGAGAAGATAGGCGATGTAGATTAGGTTATTCATCTGGAGAGACGGAAATACTAACAACTATCATGTCTCTAGACATGCATCAAGCACTGCTGGTCCATGAGGAAAATGATAATCCGTATGTAAGCACTTGTTTATCAAGTCTCATCATAAAGCTATCCACGGAAAGGGCTGTAGTCACTTCTGCTGGAACAGAATTTCAGGTAGAGACAACTCTTAATCCGACAAATTTGTCATGTACCTGATGGTTTGTCCTTTCATGGGCAATTTTTCGAGGGTTACCCCGAGTTGCGTAGTGGAGGTACTTCGGTAAGATGCTCATGTTGGCGTACTTAATATGGTGTAAGCCATTTCAAGTGTGTGAAATACTTTTTCAAACGATCGATGCTTCAGATTTCATGATTTATGTCTTTTAGGTACACAAAAGTGTATTCGTATACATCGTCTTCCCTTTATTCCTAGATATGGGCTCGCCTATCTCTTTTTACGTCTTTTGATTTAGCTATCACTAGTAAAATTTAACGCTTAGTTAATTATTCATGGTCAACGTTAAAGAAGAGGGTTTCGTTTGTACGTCTCAAGGATTTAATTCTCCATAAATCTAACATTTCTTCGGGTAATCTGGCCTATTCATTCAGCGTTTTTTTAACTTCTGTCGCTACGACTGACCAAACAAATGTCTGATATACGTAGAGATTCCGAATTCATCGTGGATTTACCATATGTTCTCTGATATGTACTCCTATGATAGTAACGGATGCTTTCTCTGAACGTAGTGAACTGTCTGGAGACTTAACTATTGATATTGTATAGTTATTAAGTTAACTTAAAAAGCTGAATCAGTAAAACACAACTACTTATTTCCGAAGGAAGAACAATGGTATGTATTCGAGATTCCGTTTAATGACTGTAATGCAGCGTGAGTGGAACATTAAGACAGCTAAATATGGGTTTGAAGGAACGCAATCTTTGTTTAAAGCACATGTTTACATCCCCAAAAATCCTGAGACAACCAGAGAACAGATAAAGATAGCACTGCACTTAAGTCTGGTCATACAAGTGATTTTAGTGCCGCCAGATTACCCCGAAAAGGCTTCAGTTTATATGAAAAAAACCAACAGGTGAGATCTGGCACATGGGTAAATCTAACCAATAATAATAGGTGAGATGGAATATATGTTGCCATCTCACGACAACTAATAACAAGTCGGCAAACTTGAACTCCTTTTTTAATCCAGCAATTATCATTCAAACAGCTTAAGTACAGGATGAGCAATCAACCTGATCAACACAACAGTACAAAATTTTATTTCTTTACATATCTTCATTGTATGCATACTGTTACATGTTAGACTTATAGCACTCATAAAATTATCTGATTTCATAAATAATTCCTTCTGTCTGACACTGGATTCACTTGCATTTATGCAACTGTTATCTTAAGACATATTACACACCAAATGTCACATATGCACTACAACCAGTCTCGCTGTCTACATTGTCGACATGAATAAGTGACATTTTTCGCTGATAAAACCCGTAAACCATATATTTGTATTTGAAAGTTTTTATGTTTGATAACATACCCTTCTAAATGCTTGGAAAGGTAGGATTCACTTAAGATTCCATCGCTGGGACTGAAAAACACAGTCTACCTCTTTACTGTCCTACATTAACTCAGCCCTCAACTATTGTAAAACTATTCTCTCAGATTTAAATAAAGGCTTCCATAAGTTGCGAGGGATGATATCTAAATTTTGTATTATTCTGTAAACAGCTTAATATAAAAGTCGCTGCGAACCGACTTCGCTCTGGTTATTTAGGGAAAGCTGTCTAATTAAAACAACCCTCAGAAATGGAGTCATGCAGTTTTTCACTCTGATGAAACCATTTCTATTTGATAGTAACTCTTCAGTAGGGTACGAAGAAAGTAATCTCTTGTGCTGCCTGCTCACCCATTAGCCCCAATCGAAAGTCTGAAACGCCCGATATTAGTACACC